CTTCAGTTTATTGTTGAGGTTGATGCATCCAACACCGGTGTGGGGGCTGTTCTATCACAACGCTCAGTCTCCGATCAAAAGCTTCACCCTTGTGCTTTTTTTTCCCGACGACTGACAACCTCTGAGCGCAACTATGATGTTGGCAACAGGGAGCTGCTTGCTGTAAAGCTTGCGCTGGAAGAATGGAGGCACTGGCTGGAAGGCTGTGAACATCCATTCATTGTGTGGACAGACCACAGGAACCTGGTCTACATACAAACTGCCAAACGACTAAACTCCCGTCAGGCACGCTGGGCATTGTTTTTTGGCAGGTTCAACTTCACCCTTACCTACCGACCTGGTTCTAAAAACCTTAAACCTGACTCATTGTCCCGGCAGTTTGCAGTGGATCAGGACCCCATAGTTCCTGACACCATAATCCCTGCTACCAGAGTGGTGGGCGCTGTGACATGGGAGATTGAGAACTCAGTGAGGAATGCACAGAGAGACCAGCCAGATCCAGGAAATGGTCCAGATAACCGTTTGTTTGTACCTGACTCTGTCCGCTCACAGGTTCTCCTATGGACCCATGCTTCCCGCTTTGCCTGCCACCCGGGTGTGAATCGGACCCTGTCCCTCCTGAGACGACACTTCTGGTGGCCTTCCATGGAAGCGGACTCTCGAGCCTTTGTGCTGGCCTGCACTGTCTGCGCCCGTAGCAAGTCTTCACACCAGGCTCCTATCGGTCTACTCCAGCCTCTCCCAGTCCCTAGTCGTCCCTGGAGTCACATCGGCCTAGACTTTGTTACCGGCCTCCCGGTTTCACAGGGTAACTCAACCATTCTCACTATTGTCGATCGCTTTTCCAAAGCGGTTCATTTTGTGCCTCTTCCTAAACTCCCCACAGCCTCTGGAACTGCTGACCTCCTAGTCAATCATGTGGTCCGGCTTCATGGCATTCCAACAGACATTGTTTCCGACCGAGGGCCACAGTTCATATCTCAGGTATGGAAAGCATTCTGTCGAGCACTTGGAGCATCTGTCAGTCTCTCCTCAGGCTATCATCCGCAGACTAACGGGCAGGCCGAAAGAGCCAATCAGGACCTTGGAGCTGCACTTCGCTGTGTCACCTCCCGGAATCCCACCTCCTGGAGTTTACATCTGCCCTGGATTGAATACGCTCATAACTCACTGTCTAGTGCTGCCACCGGTATGTCCCCATTTGAATGTTCTCTTGGATATCAACCCCCTTTGTTCCCAGCCCAAGAGGACGAGATCGCAGTTCCCTCTGTCCAAGCCCATCTCCGTCGTTGTCGGAGGATCTGGAAGGATGCCCGCTCTGCCCTTCTCCGCTCCGCTGAACGCAATCGGCATATTGCAAACCGCTACCGGACCGCAGCTCCCCAGTTCCAACCAGGTCAGAAAGTTTGGCTTTCATCTAAAAATATTTCTTTACAAGCTGAGTCTAAGAAGTTGAAACCACGCTTCATTGGTCCCTATGTGATCGAGCGCATAATCAATCCATCTGCTGTTAGACTCAAGCTGCCTCCCTCCATGAGAATTCACCCTACCTTTCATGTGTCCCAGTTGAAACCAGTGTTTTCCAGCCCTTTGTGCCCTCCAGCCATCTCCCCTCCACCCACCCTTGTTATTGATGACCACCCGGCGTACACGGTCCGGCGGCTGTTGGACATTCGCCGCCGGGGCCGTGGGTACCAGTATCTGGTCGATTGGGAGGGTTATGGTCCTGAGGAGAGGAGCTGGGTGTCCCGCAAGCTCATTCTAGGTCCCTCTCTCATTCGGGACTTTCACAGAGACCACCCAGACAAGCCTGGTGGTTCGCCTGGAGGCTCCCGTTGAGGGGGGGGTACTGTCACGGCCCAAACTGTGTCCCTGTGTGTCCCTGTTTGTTCCCCTGTGTGTGTGTGGAGGGGGTGTGGTTTCCCTTGCAGGCAGCAGCCTGATTGTACTCGCCTGGCCGACCGGCTCAGCTGTCCCTCATCAATCCAATCAAGACACAGCATATCTACTCCAGTCTCCCAGCAACTCACCGCCAGATTGTTTTCTACACCAGTGGTATTGCATCCTCCTGGCTGCTCATTTCAGTTATCCTGTCTGCGTGTTATTCTGTACTTTTTGTAATTAGTTTCTCCTTACTTCCAGTACGATCCCTCAGCCATCGGCCACCAGAGCTTCCAGCCAACCTGCCTGCTTCTTCCTTCACCATACCTGCCTGCCCTGTTCTCAGTCCAGCCTGAACTGCCTACCTCCACTCCGGACCTCCATAGTCTCCAAACCCGCCTGAGTCTCAGAACAATAAACCTTTTAAACATCTTCAGTCATTGCCTGCGCCTGGGTCCTGTTTAAAACATAATCCTAACACTACGAAAGTGCAGCGGTGGCTTTCACGTCTTCGACAACAAGAACCCGCAGGACCAGGACCAAGTGACCAGCTTCCTGGAAAAGATCCAGACCTTGGTGGCCCTGAATGGAGGGCAACATTACAAAACAGATCTGTATCCAAAGCAGGAGAAATACAGGAGAGCCTCCTGGCAGAGAGCGCTAAGGAGATACGCGCCAAAGAGAAACAGCTGAGAGAGCATTTCAGGGGGGAAGACCTGGAAAAAGGGTTGATCGAGATGTGGAGAAAAGAAGAGGACAGAGCAAGAGAGGGTGCAGAGAAATACATCCACATGAATTCCTACTTTTGTACTTTCATTATCTTCCTGGTAGCAATAGCACTGCTATGTTTCTGTCTTCAGAGACCAGTTGTGTTGACTCTGGTGGTATTTTTTATTGTGATTGTGTTTTTCCTCAAGAAATGGTTTATTCGTCCAGCTATATCAGGAAGAAATCCACAGCTTTTTAAGAAAAGGCAATAGGATTTAGTGTGTTTTGAGATAGTGAAGCTCATCCAGAATGCAGTTGAATGATTGGTCGCTCACTTGCTCACTTGACCCATGAAACCGTTCAACAAAAACCCACCTGTTTGCTACGCTTAATCAAGGATTTAGTATAAAAAAAGGGTTCAGAGAATGATATACAACTGACTTCCTACATTTAAAAAACAAGTAAACCAGTATTCAGAATTTGATACGGCATATTCTGAAATGTGGCCATGTGTATCGTTTTCTGATAAAGATGTGTGCGAAATGACCATATTTATCAAGTTTTAGGAGGGTTCGTTGGTGATGTATTTAGTGAATTTGGAATATGCATCTTAATAAGGGATTTTTACCGCTTTTGCAACACATCGCAGCGGCAACTTTTTCAGAAGGTGGTTGATCAAAGAGGGATTTGCGTTCAACTGGTCAAAACAAGGGCGCCACTTCTTTAAAATTGTGTTAATCCGAATTGAATATTAATCCGAACTATCCGACAAAAACGGTATATGTCGTATAATTTGTTTAAATATTCATTATGGGTTAATTAGTTATTAAGTCTCTAATAGATGTTCAACTATTGCTGCTGATTTTCCTTTCAGTTTTTTTAACATGTTTGATTTTCCCGCTTCCTTCTATCACATATAACCTTAAAGAGATCTAGCTAATAATATATTATGTTTAAGGTGGTATTTCGTGTCAAACATAACTTCTGGGTGTTAAATCTGGGTGTTTTATGATTATAATGCAGTGTGCAATGTGACTTTAAATATGATGGGATGGGGACCTCTGGTGGTTTCTTTAACACATAAACATGACAATGCTGGGTGGACCAGTCAGTTTGAGTCAGTTACTTAGTTGTTTCTGTTTACTTTCCTCTGTGTTGGCACAGCAGTGGTACAACACTCTTTTCTGATTTCATTTTGTCGATGCTTATTCTGGTGATTCTTTTTGTGAAAAAAATGTACATGGACAAAATAAACAGACATACTTTCAGACTGCTGTGTGTGTTTGCTGAACTTTGGCTGTAAACCATAGAAGCAGTCACGTTAAGTACAGGACTAAATTACATAGGGTAATGGATTGCATGAATTTGTCTCTCGGATTTAGAGCTTTTAAGGTCGGTGTATGTTTTGGTCATTGGATTTTCTTTTCACAAAAGGATATTCAAAAACAAAAAACGACTGGATATTTAATTTTGGGGCGTTTTTTCGTTTCTGTTTTCTAGTGATTTTAGTTTTAGTTTTGAGAGGTAGATAATGAAAATCATCCCGTTTTTTAAATTTAGTTAATGCCTTTTTGACCATGACAAAGAAAAAAGCCTTGTATTTCAATTTTATTTTTTCAATTTAAACGAAAATCAAATATCCACTCATATTTAGTTTTTTTAATATCCTTTTGTGAAAAGAAAATCCAAAGACCAAAACATACACTGACCTTTAAGATGATGCAACTTCATGCCTGACTGGTACATTTCAGGCCATTTTAACCGGTTCATCCTCCCTTACCTTACTGCCTAAAACCGATCTACTCACGGTACCGGGCGCGCGACAGGAAAGCGGAACTAAATGGTAATAAAAACATTTAAACATATTTTTTAAACTGCCAGATATATTTAGGCTATATATGCATTTATCGGAGCAATACATTCAATTGTGAGAGTGAGAGTTTGGGAAGCTTATGAACCCCTAGAAACAACAGGACTCGCCATTCTTGCACTCTCGATTTTAAACATACAAATCTTACATTTTAAAACCAATTACTTTATACGATGAAAATCGCAAGGTTGGTATAATGTCACATTCGTTGGCGTTTGTGTCTTTTACCTGTTACACACATGATTAGGTTTAGAATTGTGAATGTTATATTATACACCTTTTCAGGTAGTTTGGATACTACTAGAATATGTTTACATGTTGTAATGTAAATAATGTAGGCTACTGTATCTAGGCAAAACTAAAATAATACTGTAGTGTTAAAAACAGTGTTGTTAAGTAACTAAGTACATTTACTCAAGTGCTGTATTTACGTACAAGTTTGAGGTACTTGTACCGCTCGAAACCGCTGGAGACGCTGTAGTATGTAAGTGGCGCTGTACTTCCGCCACAAAATACACCAAAAGCAGCGAATAAGACCCCCGAGCATGGGCATAAAGGCATAAACAAACAAACAAGGTAGAAGATGGCGGATATTCGTGCAATAAGGGGGGCATTTTTGTGGACTGACGACGAGGTAGAACTTCTGCTTAGGGTCACACTAGAGTACAAAACGACCAAAGTACAGGAGAATGTTGACTGGGAGTCCTGCAAGTGTAAATATAGCGATATTTCTCGCGCATTTCACGCGCAGTATCCGAGGACCCTGGCAGACAAGGATTTCCCTCACGACGCGAACGCCATTACAAAGGTCCAACTTACCGCCAAGCTTAAGCAAATTCGGAACAAGTACAGGCAGTTGGTGAACACTGGGAGTCGGAGTCACCAAGGACGTGTTATGCTCTTGTTTTTCGAGCTGTGTGAAGAGGTCTGGGGTGGCTCGCCTTTTAATCGCACCATTAGCTCCCCTGCTACTAGCACCAGCTCCCCTGCTACTCGCACCATTAGCTCCCCTGCTACTCGCACCATTAGCTCCCCTGCTACTCGCACCATTAGCTCCCCTGCTACTCGCACCATTGGCTCCCTAAGCTCCGGCATCGAGACGGGGGACCTGGAAGAGTCGTATTCCGGACAGAGTGCATCCCCGAGTTTGGAGCGTTCCAAAGATTTGCCACAGCCACAGTCGAGCCAATCCACCGAAGGTCTGCCAGCTGCGGTTGTAAAGCAACGCAGGGATCTGCTCCAGGTATGTTCATGATTTCAAGCTTACCGGACTTGCTATATACTATGATACAGTACCTTCCACAGAAAAACTGAAAATGTTTAAGCTTTGTAAAAGTAGAAGGTATTGACAGCTATTTCACAACATGCCTTTGGTCTTATGTTATCTGGTGGCTATGGTCATATTGTGTAATAATAATAATAATAAATGCTCTGGTTTATTCAAGCCAAAGCTGAACAGCCACAGAATTGACCGGCTGAAGAGAACACTTCCAGCTGACAATGCAGTGCAGGAAGACATCCAAATAAAAAGGAGGATGTTGGGGACAATGGAGCAAACATCCAGCCGCAACGCAGACAACATGCTGCAGATAAATGCCAACTTTGCCAGCATTTCAAGCACTATTCAGGAAAGCTTTTCCCTGATGAGGGACTTAATGCGTGCACCCCCCCACAGTAGCGGCGGTGGATATGGACAATCCCAGGAGCACTCACCACCAGTCATGCAGTCATTACTCAATAACAAGACGTGAGTACTTCTCCCACCTCTGGTTAAAAATGACTGGAGAACATTATTATTTTAACACCCTATTTTCAGACGTTATATCCTTGTTAAACACCTGAACTTTTGAAACAACATTAATCTGGCTGCAATTTAGAAATTATGTATCTAATATATCATATTCAATCACTTGCATATAGACTCTTATTGCACGATTGCACTTTTTTTCTATTTTTCTTTTGTATTTACTATTTTTTCTGTTTTATTGTGTTGCTCTGTTGGAGGAGCCTGTGACCTAAGATTTTCATCGTCATAACTTCACTGTGGCTATGCACGCATGACCAATAAAAGCCTTGAACCCTTTCTTTACTTAAAGGGGACCTATCATGCAAAATGCACTTTTGTACGTCTTTTATACATGAATATGTGTCCCCGGTGTTCCAGGGAACTCACCAAGTGTCAGAAAACACAACCCTCTCTATTTTCCTCCATACCCAAATCTCTAAAAAAGGGGCTGCAACGGATCTGATAAAAACTGATCCAGATTTGAACACTGTCCTGACGTCACAGAAGTGGCGCTACGGCTATTGGGCCAACTCCACCAATCAGGAGTAGACAGCCATGGCCATTGCCGTTCGAAAGCGCTGGAGACGCTGTAGTACATATGCCAGGCCTGTAGGTGGTGCTCACTGAATCTGCCCTTGCAAAACAGGGGTAAAAAAGTGCACATTGAGCGAAATGAGGCATGGCTAAAATGCATGATCTGTTTGGTATTTAAAAAAAAAAAAAAGTATAAATATGCCTTATATGGGTATGGTCCTACACTATATTATTATAATATAGCATGATAGGTCCACTTTAAATAACTTTTATCCAATTGAAAACACTTTCAACACAATACACGTTTTAAAATGAAACAACTTAACACAGATGTTATCTGTTGTTTGTTTCAAAACAGAAAAATGGTGCCGCAAGAAGTGGAACATGTGAACAGAAGTAGCTCCAGGATTCGGAACCAAAAGCGGTTAAAATGTATAGATGATGGGGACAAGAACACAAATGAAGAGGAGGAGGAAGATCAGGAAGACGATGAGCAGCCAAACACATCCGAACACACCAAGAGAACACAACCAAGTATAAATAACATGAAATATACATGAAAATTATAAAACAACAAGGCCTTCCCAGCTGTTTTGCAATGTGCGAGACATTCTCTAAGAATATTGTCTATGACATTAAAATACACTCAATATTTTTGCAGCTAATAAATATTCTGAAAGTCATTGTTTGTTTGACAATTATGTCCATTTATGCACAATTCAGGGCTCGTGACTGTAACCTGTGGAAACAAAACGGGAATCCTCTACGTAGAGAAGCTGGAGAGGGGTAAGCACACACTTGTTTTTCTATTTCCTTATTCATGATTCCTAACGCCTTTTTTTTGTTTTTTAACATGTGTTGCTTTATGTGTGTTTAGGTGAGGAGTGTATCAAGAGTGAGGGCCGCTGGTTTGATCCCAAAGGATATGAGATCTTTGGGGGAAAGCCTCTGCAGTTTTGGATTGATGTAAGATATTTGTCCTTTTATACACGTTTTCTTCAAGAAAACCAGAACAAACACTTAATTGACAGCATTATCAATATGATCACTGAGAGGTTACTTGCCCAACAATACATCTTAAGCTGGCTACACACCAACCCGATTTTGGGAGTCAGAGGCCGTCAGGGGCATTCGCGGCGCCCTACTCAGGTTGGTGTGTCCCGCACCGTCGTCTCTTTACGGCACCTTTTGACACCTCCCGCGGGAGGTCAGAGAAAGTCGGCCCAAGCAATCACTCTGATTGGCTGTTCACACTACTGCTGGTAAGGACAGTTATTGCCACTCGTCGACTGAAGTATTTGCGGTGTGTTCGTAGCGGGCAGCGTAGCTGACGTAAAAGTCAGGACGCCTTCGGTACGCGTTCTTTGGTCTCAGGTGGGGTGTAGCGGCCTTAAAAGGAGAGCGACTGGACTGTAACTCAAATCAGAATACAATGTGATATAAATGAATGCCTTCGCAGCAGCTGGCCCCAGGCTCTGGAACACTGCCCCTCCATGTGAGGTCGGCCGAGACACTAGGGGTTTTTAAATCCTCACTAAAAACACACTTCTTCTCCCTGGCCTTCTAGTCAGAGCGGAGCACGACACCTGACTATTCCCTGTGTTTTTGTTTTTTATATTTCTGTTGGAAATTATTGTCTTTTATTGTGATTGTAGTAATGTGTTTTTATTGCATGTACAGCACTTTGGCTCGACCAAAAATCGCTTTTACATTACATTTAGCTGACGCTTTTATCCAAAGCAACTTACAATTACCAATTACAGGGACATTCTCCCTGGAGTAACTAAGGGCTAAGTGCCTTACTCAAGGGCACACTAGTGGTGGTGTTCCTGGCGGGATTTGAACTCACAACCTTCCGATCTTCAGCCCACCTCACTATCCATTAGACCACCACTATCCACTTTTAAATGTGCTATATAAATAAAACTTGATTTGATTTGAATGCAACATGACCGTGATGATAATGCTACATTTCCTTTTATTCTCCCAGAAATGTAAGATCCCGCCCCCAGATCTCACATCAGAGAGCATGTCTAACGTTTTGGCAATGAAGACAGAGGAGGAAGAAAGAGTGGCTCCTGATGTTGCTGATAACAACAGTAAAGGTGACCGAAACATGTTTCACAGATTTATAAGAAATGAAGGAACCTAGAAAGATTACAGTGAAATCTTCTTTTGTATCTGTTCTCAAGTCATAAACACGGGAGAGAAAACTATTTGGATCAGACTTGTAAAATGAATCACTATAGTATATTTTCTCATTTGCCTCTCAGGGCTTCCGTAGATTTGCTGAAAGCCATTTTAATCTATAGATGTGTGTCAGTATGGACTCTGTTTTATTATGGGCGACATCCAAAGTCAAGAAAGATAATTCCACAGCTTTATCTAACTTTAATATTCAAGTGTCTAATCTTTAACCTTCATTTAATTTGTGAGCAGACGGTTGGTGTACGCCATTGCAGGAGGATGCACAAAATGAAGAGAACGGAGCGCACAGAGTCTCGCCAATAGATGATCCCATTGATATCTCAACAACCGTCCAACCGTCAGAGGAGCAATTGAGAGAGAGGTTTACACAAAGTAATGAAATAAAAGAAGGTGGACAGAGAGAACTTCAAACCGAAACATCGCTACTTGCTCCAGCTACCTCAACACCAACAATCAAACCTGAACTCCTGGAGAAAACTGAAGACACTGAAACAGCCAGCGTTCAGACTGCCATCTTTAGTGGCTCCCCTCCGCTGTTAGTCACACACATAACTGGAAACACCAGAGACGCTTCCTCAAACACAGCATACATTCACGAAGGTAAGGAAGAGACTCTAGACCAGGGGTCTCAAACTCAAGGCCCGGGGGCCAAATCCGGCCCGCGACTTCATTTTATGTGGCCCCGCAAGAGCTTGCAAAGAATATACAAGTTTATTATACGGTTACATGCCACTTTACAGAAGCAGGTTGCCCATAAACTACATGTCCCACAATGCATCTCGTTTTGTGACATGCGCACTGAAGAGACTTGCAATTATTTGCCCTGGACTTCTGCTTTCAGACGTAGTTAATTACTAAGTTATTATCCTATCCGATAATAATCCAATTCAGAGGCAATAATGTAATATAATACATTATTTTATATATATATTATATGTTTATATAGTTACAACCGGCCCTTTGAGTGCAACCTTTATGCAAATGTGGCCCGCGATGAAATTGAGTTTGACACCCCTGCTCTAGACAGTTATTTAGAAGACCATTAGAGAAGTCTTTTTAAAAGTTTGTGCAAGACCACTTGGAATAATATTCTACTTCCTGTGCAGGTCCTCAGAGGAAGCTGGATGACGGTTGTCATGACGAAACAGAGGTAACGACATCTGGTCATGATGCTGCACAATTACAAGTGATGGAGACAGAAACAAGGTAAGGTGCAACACGCAAATAAACAAAGAAGCTTCATTTGCATCTAAGCAAGACATACGATTAATTTTTTCATTTGTACATTGTTGATTGTTTTCAGTTATTTATTTCTATATTTGTTTATTTATGTTTCTTCCACAGGGTTCCCCAAGCCTCAAAGAGCACTCCAGTCTCCACTTCCTGTAATCTGGATACAATGGACCTTGAGCAGCTGAAGAGAGAGAAAATCAAAATGAAACTAAAGATCATGAAGTTGCAAGAGGAGTACTACACTCTGAAAATAAGGGAAATTAAAAAGTGAAATAGTTTTACTGTGGCATAAAAACATGGTGAGCCTAAATGTTATCGGTGACCGGTTGGACAAAAGGACAATGCAATCACAGAGGGTGTAAACCTGTATCACCGAAAAGGACACTGATAGCAAAAGACAACCAAACAAGTGTTGTGTTGTTCCTAAGTTATCCTGCATGTGAGATCATGTGATCATCGGTCATTTGCTGCATTTAATGACAAAAGGCTTTTTTTATCCTTTTTTTTTAAGGTTAACGAAATATTTCTTCTTGAATTCTCAAAACGTGACATCATTTTTGTTGGTGAGAGAAAATGATTGTACTGTACAAGACAAAGACATTATCTAAAATGTGCATCAGAAGTTTATGAGGTAGCCAGCCGGGTTTGTGTCCTATGGCATCAAATACCTTCCTTCAGGTTATATTAAGCCAATCACTTTTTTTAAACCTCAAACCATTTACCTTTCCTTAACTTTGACTCTTAATCCTAAGGTTAAAACATGTTTACTACGACTAGTAGAGCTTGACAGTTTGACCACAGAAACATGAAGACAATAAAAACATGAGCCAGAAGTTAAGGTTAACATAAAAACAAAACAGTCCCGAAAGGACAAAGAACCTTACGCACATCTCAAGGAGACACAAAGGCCAATTTAAATACATGTGGGTCTTCAGTTGTTTCTTAAAAGCTTCTACAGCGACCGCAGACCGAATGTTTTTAGTAAGAGTTCCATAGTGTTGAATCCACTACTATTCTGTGTTTACACTTTTCTGTATGCATTTATGTAGAGGAACCATCCAGAAATGTAGCAATATCTAAATATTTTGGGATAACTTGTGATTGTACTTTGCTGATTGTACACATATTAGTAAAGACCTCTTAGAAAAACTTTCTTTGAGCTTTAAGAGAGGAAATGTACACATATTGACATTTAATAAAAACTCAATGTGTGTGTGTAACCTGTTAATGTGTGTATGATACTATCTGTGAATAGAAAACTGCGATCTGGTGACTAAAAGGGACAAATACAGAGTCTTTATTTCAGGGTATCATATTTACTCTCAAAAACAATATTTATTACCAGCCATGTTTGCATTCGTGTGTAAGATTAACAAATAGAAGGCATATCATTATTTTGTACATTTTGTATTTACAGATCCATCAAAGCAGTGAGTGTTAACAGTTGTTACTATAAAGACACTATTCTGTCATGTTTTCATCCTCCTCGTCATTTTCCATCTCCTCTTCATCATCTTCATCATCAAAGTATTTATCCTCCTCATCTCTGCTGACGATGTCCAAGTTGTCGTAGTCCGGGTTCTCGTCCACCTCGCTGAAATGGAAACACAAATGCTCAATCTACACGCTTTCAAAGAAACACAAGAGTTTGGTAACTTTTTCTGGACATTATCATACATGTACTTTGTTTGCTAATATACATTTCCTATAATATTAGTTTGAATATTTATATCAACCACAGTAGAATATTTACAAAATCCTTAAGGCATCTGTAAAATGTATGAAATGTCAGCGCCACCAATAACATGTATTTAAATACTCGAGACCAGCAATGTAGATGAAGGCCCAATCCCAAACCACGCTCTACACCCTGTGATGGCCACACATTGATTTAAGGTGTTTTTTCTATACTGTAGTGGCAGGGGAAAAGGTTTAAGGCATGTTGACTATCATGAAATGAACTATGATACCTGTATAATATCCTCGCAACTGCAGTTCTTAATGTCCACTGTTATGTACGGTTTGAGGGTGTGGGTCATTAAGCCTCATCTACATATTCACCTGTCGCGGCACAGGGCCTTTTTAGTGGGCGCATCAACAGGATGCCAGGGGTCGTGAGAGAGGAAGGAGGAAGCGTGTGTGTGGCGAATGCGGGTATTCAGTGGGATATTTAAGTTTCCTCAGCATGTATACATATGTTAAAATACAACTGGGAAGTAACTGATTGTGGATATTGCATCGACCGACCTGGAAGCACGTCTCCGTGGAGAGGACGCGCACAGATAGAGAGAGAGATTCTCTCCAACACAGGGTGAGATCGCTCCTTTGTGCCACGCCGATCATCCTATTTTTCTTTCTGTGGATTATAGCCTAAATAGGCCTACAAACATTTCCAGTTTTTTGCTGCCGACGGGCGCAGGAGCAACAGCTTTTTTTTGTCAATGAACTATGTCCTGGATTAGGCAGTAAAGACAATTTCGGTTTATCGCCGAGCTGACTTTTTGTTGGGTTTTGTTTGGCTCAAAAACTGAATACACTTGGATAACGTATAAAACCGGTCTTTGTTTATTTTGTGAATGTGTGCATATAGACTAGTAAATACACTTCCGTGGGGACTATTTTGTGGAAAGAGCAGATTGTCCGTTTATCAGTTCTGTTTACCTTTAATATATTATTTCATATCAAGAACCCCTTGCGCGTTTATTTAACACAGGTATATTTGATAGTTGATCGTTACAACCCTACACCCTTCAGTGCATATATTTAATGTATATTAATAGAAAAACAGACAAAACAATGCTTACATTTATTATTAATAATTGGAAATTGTGTGATTTATATGTATGCTTGTCCAAATCCGCTCCGTATCACCTAGTAACGCAATTTCTAAACCCTTAACCACTTTCTAGTTTGTTTCCACTTTAGAGTTAACACTGATCAGATACATGGCCTCTCTTAAATCTATTTGAGGTCATTTTTTCATAGTGACGGATAACCTTCAGAATTAATTTACTTACATATATTATCAAATATGGAATAAAACCTCTAATTATTTTCTTACTATGACGGCCAAACACATTTTGATCAGGACTAGTGATTCGTTGTTGTGTAACACGGATGATTGTATAGATGTGAGCTGTCGTTATGGCTGACCTGTAGTTGATATCCTTGTCTTTGCCATCCAGGAAGCGCTGGTGCATCTGACCGATGAACTCCTCTCTGAGCAGAGCCTTCTCCTCTGCCGTGGGCTCCCAGTCCTTCTGCTGGGCGGTGATCACTTCCGTAGGAACAAGAAGAGAGACAGACTTAATGATTATCAGGAAAAAAGAGGGAGGGAATCAAAGTAGGATCGGGAGAAGAAGACAACAACAGAAACAGGGTTCTTTTCACTTCAATCCACAAGTCCACAGAAACCAGATTTATTTTACAACCCCCCACTTTAAATGTTAGTCTTTTCTATTTACCTACCTTTATATTTATTTTATAGGTCTTAATCTTTTTATTTGTATTTCTGTAGTACCTATATGTTCACTTTGTTTTATGGGGTTTTATATTTTATATTGTTGAATCGATTCAGTTGTCTTGTGTCTTACAAGGGAGGCGTGTGGCGCAGTGGACTAGCACGTTGGTGTTCGGATCAGGGGAGCACAGGTTCAAACCCCTCTGCAGTCAGCATGTCGTTGTGTCCCTGAGACACTTCAACCCAAATTGCTCCTGTGGGGATTGTCCACAGTATTGAGTATGTAAGTCGCTTTGGATAAAAGCGTCTAACAAGTAACATGTTATGTAATGTCTGTCAGAGAGAAACCTTTATTTATTTTATTTTATTTGTATTATCATACATTTGACCTCCTTGTGTCTATAAACCTGATCAAATGTTATATGTTGCTGCATGTACCTTCAAAGTTCTTACAAATAATCTGAGGGGGTTTGTTTTTAACTTGTGATGTGTCATTTTGCAAAGCACTTTGAGCTGCATGTGTTGTATGAAAAGTGCTATATAAATAAAGCTTTATTATTATTATTATAACACCAGCCTCTCTCACCATCTTCCTCATCCTCCTCCTCCTCCCTCGCTCCGTCCTCTCTCTCCTGCTCCCTCTGCAGGCGGTCCTGGATCAGACGCTCCTGGTAGGAGTTGAGGAGGAGTTGTGTGAGCCCCCCTTTGTTTCCTGCTGGAGCCCCCGGGCCCCCCTGTGCATCATCCAGCATGGACTCCTGGGAGCGCGCCAGCACCTGGAACACAAGTCGTTTAGAAATGATGTAAAAACAACACTGGTAATCATGAAATAGAACTTTCCAGCACCGTCCTTCATCATGCTCTCACCTCCTCATCAGTCAGGTACTGGCCAATGTATTGTTCATACAGCAGTGGCTCCCTTATCCGCATCTGTTCGTCACTAAAATACTCTCCGCCTGGAAGAGGGAGGACAGAAGAGGACAGCATTTGTATTTAACGCACAGGTAATGTACTTCATCAGGTATATGGTAGATACAAGACTGATAGAAATGTTCGGGGTGGCAGCAGATATCTCAGCAGAAGATGTCTTTAAACCTCACTAAGTAGAACCGATACTATCTTTTTTAAAGTCTGAACTGGCGATTTTTTGTCCGTCAAAGAACTTCATATATGCTGTATATACAAAAATATGTTTATCTATTTTTTCCCTGGAATATTGCAGTTTAATTGGATACTATTAAAACAATGACAATTACAATTAAATAAAGTTTAATTTGTTTTACCAAAAACTACAACAAGTTACAGAATCTTCTCACACTCAAAAATCTTTGAAAAAGCCATTGACAAATTACAAATCCAGAAAGTTATAGAATAAAAAATGGATTGCAGCATAACCCACTTTATACATGTTTGAGTTTCCCAGAAGAAAACCGGTGAAGCATATGTCAATCAATATGTCAATCAATGTCAATTTTCTAGCCTGTCTTATTGATTCTTGTACTTGCGAGGTCTGAACTTGAATGAATTAACAAATCATCTCTTTCATTTGACTAAAGAAGGCCCTACCCTCCTGCAGGGCCCTGAGAGCCGCGTAGCGCTGGTTTCGAACCCTCGTCCTGTTGGTGAACGCTGCAGCTCGTCTCTCTATCACTTTGCCGTAGTGAAGAGCCCGTGGATCTGAGCTGACGTGGGCAAACACTGACAGGTCCTGGGGCTTGAGGCACACCTAGAAATGGGTGAAGAGTAGATAGATGTTTAACCTTAAAGCTAATAGCTCCTTTCAGCTGCTGCCAAGTACACCAGTGGCGAACCGTGTCTATCACAACTGGACCTTCTGTAGACACACACACCCCCCCCCCCGCCGCCGCCTGTAATATTACAGATCAACAACACAGATACAATTCTCTTTTATTGACATTTTATTACATTTCATTTATATAATTAAATCGATTTTTGTTTGTTTTATCTGAGTGTTTCAAAGTATGCTCTGAATACCTTGAAGGCCCTGAAGGTTCACCACTGATATACACACCAATGCGTTTGTATATAGAAACATAATGGAGCTGTATGGCGCCGGTGATGATGGCTGCCGTGTCTTTTGCTCCTCTCCAACTGGCTTTTTCCCCCTTTATTTCAGTGTTTGTTTACTTTTCGTTGTGTGCTTTTCATATTCTGTTCTTGTACATATCAAATTATATTTACATGTAGACTTTTTGCACTACTTTTTATTTTGTATTTTATTATATATGTTGCATTGTTGGAGGAGCTCAGGTCAGAAGAATTCCATTGCCATTTCTACACTGTAGCTTTGTGCATATGACAATAAAACCTTTAACATCTTTGAACACTTACATGGTACCTCTCCAGGAACACCAGCGGTCTGCTCCTGTACTGCTGCATGAGCTCCTCTCTGCGCTGATCCAGGGTCAGCTCAGCGTCTCCTTTCTGCTGGCTCTTCACTGAGCTGCCACTCCTAGCTATGGCCTCCACCATGTCATTCACACAGGTGGACTCTGCCTGGCTCACGGGCTGTGTGACAAGCAGAAAATAAATAAGATGATAAGTAGTGAGTATACAAAACAGGTCATGCTGCTGATGTTGGGGGTGCTTGGGACTTAAGACTTCCATGGCCATATCTACACAGTAGCTACTTTGCACATGACAATAAAGCTTTTGAATATTTGAACCTTGGATATCTCACCTCTGTGTCTTGTTGTTGTTGTTGTTGTTGTGGCTGACGTGTGTCTGCGGGGCGGTGAAAGCCACAT